CTGTTGCATCAAATTCAGAACTAACAGCGCAAAAGAATCTATAGCAATTTCTTGGTCATAACCAACTAAGAATGTATTTAGTAGTTAGACGATAGCAGTTTTGAATATTGGATAAGAAGCTATAAGAGTAGAATTTTAGCACTTGTAAAACATTTCATTTATTTGGTCTGACTATTTTTGATATAATTTACAACAATATGAATCCATTGAATGATCATTTTTATAAATTTTATGATGAATTATTTTGCAGTAACGGAGAACGATACGTTGCTTCTGATGAACGTCTTGGACCAGTCGGAAGTGAATCGGAAACTTCATCTCAAGCACAATATGACACAAATTCACAAACTTCTGTTCCAACTCGATTTTACACATACAGTACTCTTCCGACATCATCATACAAGTAATTATTTTATATAAGATAAATTGTATTCATATTTATTCGCCTTTATATAGTGGAGAAAATATGTTTTCAAAAAAGCTTGAACAGACAGTTCATAAAAAATGCATTTTTGATCAATTTCTTAACATGATAAAAATAATTCAGTGGGTAGATCATCTGAAATACACTTTTTTGAACCGATATCCGTCATTTAAATCTTGATACAACTACAGTTTTTTATAGAAATAAACTTGAGTGAAATTATACTCATCTTTATTTCCTAATGTAATTTAAATTATTTAGTATTATTTAAATTCTTGCTATAAATATTCCTCGCGCAGCACTCAAATGCATTTTAATTCTGTACGCAATAATTTTTTGCATTAAAAATAAAATAATGTAGATGAATAATGAATAAATTTTTGAATTTAAAGGGTATCAGCAACAGTTGGACCAATTAGTGAAAGTAATTCAGCCATCGATGTACGACAACTGGAAACATCAAGTAGTATGCCTAAATTACCTTTGAAAAAAGTTTCTTCGTTTCCAGATCCACCACCTAATTTTATTCTCAGTAAGTATGATTTTTTCTAAAAAGTATCAGTTTATTCTGAAATTGATTTTGTTGAAATTTTATCTTATCAATTTATTGAGAATAATGAATTTGCTAGGAATAAAAATTGAAACTTTGATAATTTCAAAATTGTAAATTTTTGAATAGATTTGGGTTGATTGCATACAGATAAAGAAATGGCAATAGAATACGATAAAAATGGTCGTCGACATTACATTCCGAAGGATATTTCACGTTCAGCGTCACGTGATATACATGAAGACATTGATTTGGTTGCAAAAAGTCATTCAAATGTGAACGGAGATGACGATACATTAAATGCAGAGCTGTGTCCAAGAAGGAGCAGTTCAGGTAAGAGTATGCATCATGTGATTTATTTTTTCATTAGCTATGATTAATACAATAAAAATTGAATTGTTATTAGACGTGAAAAAATTTTTATTCCGATATATTCAATTGTTTGGGTTTTTCACGTAATAATTTAAAAGTGTGAGCGCAAAAAAAAAAGCTTTGGTATACAAAATATTAGAAAGTCGTTGAGTTTTCAGTGTACAAAATTCTTCTGTGGAAAAAAGATTGAAAAAGGAAGAAAGGATCTGAGGATGGTAGTAGTGAGTAGACGTAAAAAATGACAAATAGAGAGTGTTAGAAAGAGAGAGTACAAAGATTGAGAAAATTAGTACAGACTTGATAAATAATTTTGCTTTGGAATAAAAGATAATAAACAGTAATGAATTTCAAATGAACGGAAAAATTGAAAAAATTCACAAAGGACCATAATTATTTTAAATACTTGAGACAAAAGCAAAAAAGACTAATATTTTGTGCTTAAAAAATTGTAATAATTTTCAGGCACAAATATATTATATAATATACGTCGAGTGGAGTTAGCACGTGGTGCACAGCCATCTGTACGCTTATTGGCAAAAGCATTCGAAACAATGGAATCAAATACGTCAAAAGGTTCCTCAAATTCCAAGCGTTCCTTATTTGGTATACGTAAATCACGTTCAGTTGAGACGACTGAAACGGCAAAAGACAGTGTCGTCAAAAGCGTATGTATTATAATATTCTATGCAGTATTTTTTTCCCATAAAATTGAAGCATTTTATGAATTAGATTTATACATTTTGTAGCATTTTTGATAATTCAACTGTGATTCAGACATATAGGAGTATATTTTTAGGTTTTACCACCTGGCACCCCTGGGCATGTAGCAGTAACTGTACTTGGTCGAAATACATCACTTAGCCAAATCGAAGAGTTAATGGGTAGTCAATCACCATTTGGTACCATCCCACGCGGAAGTCGAAATCTATTCAGAAATATGGGTAATACTATTAATTTATGCAAAAAAGTAGTTCTCTATTATGAATTTATTTTTCCACAACATTATTAGGAATATTCATTAAATTTTTGATGCAATTAATTTGAAAAAGAGTAATTATCTCGACAATATTGGCTACTTTCTGACTGAATTGAGAAAAATATAAATGTTATGACTATAATTTGTAAAGTTTTAAGATGTTTTTAGGAACGAAATTAATAGAGCGAGTACGAAGAAGTTTGAGTAGATCAAATTCTAAATGTCGCAGTAGAGATCTATCAGTTGAAAGCAATCGAAGTGGACAAAAGAATTGTGAAAAACAGAACGCTGAGTTACTTCCAGATTCTACTGGAAACATAGCTAAAAATGAGGCAATGAAATTTTGACGTATCAAAAAAGTTACACATTAGCGTAGTTAGCTTAACTTTTACGTTTTGAAACAAAAAAATAGCAATATGTTTATTTATATAAAAAATCTTATAAAAGTGATTTATCTGATCAGTTAATACGTAAAAGATAAATGTTAAAAAATTAAATCCATCTTGGGCTTGAGTTTTTTTTGTAATTTGGAATATTACAGACTTCTCGAGCATCTTCTTCATCAGAAAAAAAATCGACAGGTAAGATTCGGATCAAAAAGAAGACAAAAAAACTAGACATATCGGATTCACCTAAAGCAGAGCCAAACAATAACAATTAATATCTTAAATCGAAAATACGTTCTTTCTTCTGCTATTATTATTAATTAATTTTTTAATTATAGTTCATATTTGTTTAATTTATATTACTGCTTCGTTTTCATATCTCATAATTTGTCTTTCTTTCCTATTAATTTGTTCAAAAATTCCATAAATCTCGTTTCTTTACGCGCCTTTGTCATAGAAAAAACTACTTTTTTTAAATTTTAATTCATAAATTTTAGTACAAAGTATGTTCAATTTATGTCAGCCTTGCAATGTGATTCAAATTGAATTAGTTTTAAGGTATTTTAATTGCATCAATTACGATCTATTCACTAATACAGATCAATCTGTTAAATGATCTGTTGTAAGCATTTCTGGTGTGTTTATTAAACAAGAATATTTTATTAAATAAGGCATAGTTTTAATTGCATTATTTTCAATGTTGTAAACTTTTATTCTATTTTTCGAATCTGTTATAAATATGTTACTAAAAAAATTATTTCATTTTCATCAAAAATCTGATATTAGTTTGAAAATGTGTACGGACGACTGAATAAATAATCTTTACTGTAACATATTGGTAAAAATGTATGAATTAAGTGAGCTTGAATTATTTCAGAAGATTAATGAGAAATTTGCATAATAATTTTAGTTATTAGAATAAAACTGTTTATATGCATATATTTTATGCGCAAGGATAAAAATATATTAAGTGTTACAAAAAGTATCTATTAATTTTTTTATCAATTAACATGAAAAATATTAAAAGAATTGGATAAACAGAAATGAATTTAATTTAATTTATGTAAATTCTGAGTTTTTAACTTTAATTTCCTTATTCGGATAACCACCAAAAATTTGAAAAGCCTCTTAAGCAATCTTTCGCGCTATTTTAAGCATAAGGTATGAAGATTACTATCAGAGACAAGCTAATTGCTATAATGTAATAAAATATTCTCGAAAAAAATTACAGAAGAGTTGGTTAAAATCTTTCAAAGTTCTCAAAAATATTTCGACTAATATTTTTCAGTTTTTTTAAAGTTTACTATTATGTCGTTCTTTCAAACAGTTACTTCTGGAAAATTAAAAATTATTTTGGAAACAGCTCCATAGAGGCATATTTTCAAGTAGCATCACGATGAAACAAAAAAATTTCATAATGACCCTCAAAAAATACATTCAAGTAATCATAGTTACATAACGAGATGCCTATATATTAATTACTATATATTAAGTTAAATATCTGTGAGGTTTCTACTACTTTTCTCTTTGGTTTCTACTTCTTTAAACTGTACTAGTTCTTTTATCATCCATTAGTACTGACAGCTTTAAATCTAAACTGTTGAAGTTTTATTTCTTTGTCGTAAAAGTTTTAATTTCAAAGCATTATGAACTTCCATTAAAAATTTACAGTCAATATTCCTTAGAGTTATAATAAATTACTTAGAAAGCAAAAGATGGCTTTTTGAATTATTTGTGCAAGGACTATTTTCTATTTCATTAAAGTTCTTTGTGGTAAAGCTATTTTTCATTTTCACAGTGCTGCAAATACTATCTTTGATCAACTTGTGATTATTGCTTGGTCTCCTTACCATATTTTGTGTTGTGATACTAAGCAGCACTTCTGATATACGCAGCTATAATGAAAAGATATTGGTTATATAATTGCCAGCTTACTTTTGAACCTCTTGACCTTTATGTCATATGCATTGTGCATTTGCGTTAGATGGAAATAAGCAAGAACTTCACCACCTTTATTAAAAGGTGGTGAAATTCTTGCTTATTTCCATCTATAATTTTCAAAAATTATTTTCAGCATAA